GAGGTCTGTATGTCATGCAAGGGGGACATAATAACAGAACAACCGATAATAAAAACAATAAAATATATCGAGAGAGTGAGGCGATGAAGTCTGGTTAGTTATAGTGAAGACAGAGGATCATGGAAAGGTCGAACTGGAAGCCGCAGGATTTGGCTTCCTTGGAGGCGGTGTCATGGGGACTTGAATGGTTCCCTCGCTTGGTTTTTCGGTTTCATCAAGGTTGTCCTGCTTCGAGGTAGTATCAGACAAACTTAGGAGCATAAGATCACTGGACGAAGGAACAGTGCTAGCTACTGGTGTCTTCGGGGTCTTCAGAGAGTTAGATATAGGGGATGCTTTCTCGCTTTTGAGGCGGCGAGGTGATGAACGAGTAGGTGTCACCGGAGGGTCTAAACCAGCATGTTTGGCTGCTGGCTTTGGGGAGGCTTTGGGTACGTCAGACTCCTTTCGATCCTCGTTAGTAGCAGGGCTACCTTCCACCGGGGTATTGACCAGGAGAATGTTCAAAGACTTTGCGTCAGCCATAAGCGGTTGGTTCTCTCCCAGCTTTCCATCCTTCAGTGCCTGTTGTTCCTCATAAAGTTGACAGAGAAACTTGCGTAAGCGAGACCGAAATAAACCTGGTTTCATGGCTGGCCAATCCTTATTTTTGTTCATTTCCTTGCGAAGCACAGATCTCACGAAATGGTCTGGATCCCGCACGAATTTCTCAAGATATGCGAGTAGATATAACCCACAGTCAGAGAAGTTCGGCTGATGCGGTATCTGTTTTGCATTCAATCCGACTATTCCTTTGGAGTCAATGGTCAATGACCGTTTTGTTTTGGCTTCCTTCTCAAGATAATCCCGAAGAATCCCAATAGTAGGGCGTCGTGGGCAGTCCAACGAATCAAAAACAATTATAGCTGGCTGGCTTTCGTTGTATCGAATGCCTGGGTTCCGACCTTTTTTACCACGCTTCTTTGCGGCCTTGGATGTTTTGAAAGCAACTTCCGGTTCAGGCACACTCGAAGGTTTGAGAGAATCTGTTACAGGCTCAATAGCTTTCTCCAGCAATAATGTTGCTTCCTTCATGTAGGGGAAGCGGGAGATTTGGTTCTCATCCTCGTCCGGCCATTCTTCGATTTCTGGGTGCTCAACTTCCTTATCATCGCCAGAAAAATGAGGCTCTGAATCGTCTTTCAGGGTCATAGAAGTGAATGATTCTCGGACCTGGTTTTCCTTAGTAGCATCGGAAGGTGAGTGGCCAACATCCGTCTTTGATCCTCCAACTTCAGATGGTACGTCAAGAACGTTTGTTTCCGTAGCCGCCGTTTTTGGCATCTCGCCTTTTCCGATACTTTCTGAACCAGAACGATTATCCACCTTTGGTAAAAGCAAGGTTGGCAAATTGCAGATAATTGCCACGTACCAATGGGCATTCTCATTTATTGGTACAACCAAATAATCAAAAGCGAATATGTCAAAGGACCTTGTCCATTTTTCAACACCCTGATAATTAATCCCTTTCTGGCCTTTAGAGGTATTCGTCAAGGTTGCAAAAAAATAGGAATTGAAGAAATATATTCGTCTCGCTACATCAGGGTGCTGGCGTTCCAGATGATGCTCGAGAAATCGAATATATAACCCAATGAGATTGTCGTTTAAGAATTCATGCGGTCTGAGTCGGTCTAAGTCGTGTTCTCCCACTTCAGCCTTCTTCTTACCAATTGCTGGGTATACAAGAGGACTAATTTATGGTAAGCTCGAATTCCACATACTATATATCGGGGAATTACCTACTTCTGCCACCTTTTACCCGGCATGTCAAGGATAGAAGCATCCATATTTGTTTCGTCTTCATTGTCACTAAATATGTACGTACCACTCAGCAACTACTCCTTTTAAGTAATAGGATAGAGGACATATAACATACCTTTCGATTTCAACATTTTGTTTTCGGAAGAATGATCGTGTTTTTCGAGCAGGAGTTGGAATTTGGTATGTCTTAATAGGAATGGATGTAGAGGATTCCGCACGGCTCGGAGATGGGTGAGCGTGGCTTAACTTTTCAATCGAGCGGTTAGAAGGAGGTTGGTCTCCATTTCTAAGGTTATCACTCAGTTTCAATCGTTTCGGCCGAACACTTTGCGTATTCTTCTCGCTTTCAGCATCCGTCGTCCTGTATTTCTGGGGATTTTGCCTATCCATCGTTATTACATTCTTCTGTAACTGTTCGGACTCCAGAAATAGGCTCTCCATATACTCCCTAACACTTGATTAGTTACATATTTTCTACTAGGGATCTCGCACGTAGGGTTAATATATACCTTTTCCTTGAGTGCCGTTTAAGAGAAGGTGATCTTCTTTGAAGAAATCTCCAAAATTTTTCTCTCTCTCGATCACTGGGAAACTCAATATAAGCAGATTCAAGGCCTGGTTTCTGCGACCTTGGAAAAGAGAGTCGAATTTTGCCGCAATTGACTTCGCTATAATCCATTTTGTTCGCCCTCAATATGTCGAATGACCGAGCCTTTAAAGAGTCTACATCAACACTAGCAGGTATCACAAGAAACTTGGAAGTTTCTGTATTGTAAGCTAATCGGGACACCGGTTCTGCCGAGAAGTCGCCATAACGAAACACGCTGATGTCAAAGGTTACTAGTGACGGCTTCCCTTTCGATTTCTTCTCTATTGGCTGCTGAGAGGATTTCCGGTCCACGGTGCTGGTAAACATAGTGTGACGAATGTTGCTTGGTGAAACTTCTCTTTTGAGACTGCTATGCTCTTTCCAAGTATCCGGAACGGTCTTGTTTCCTTGGAGTTCATCCGGGCTCTCTCGTAGATCATCAATGTGCCGATCATTGCTTCGGGAGGAACGGCAATCCACTCTCTTCTCTATTTCCTTTGGGTAATACTGTATCATTGCAGGATCTGGAACTTTCACCACTACCGCAGGGACTGTTCGGTCACGGGGCCTATTATGAGCGGTAGACGTATCCTTGAAGTCAATACCGGTGGCATCTGTTTGCTCTTGTTTTGATCGTTTTTTAGGTTTCTCGTCTTCTGAATCAGTGAATGTATCTGCTCTGCGACCAGTCCATGGTTTACTCTTCGGAGTCACAGGAGCTGGTGATTCTTGGCGTGGATTCGCGATGCGCCCGTATTTTGAAGTTATTTGGAATATGCCTTTCTGTGCTCGAACTGGGGTTCGTGAAGGAGACTTTTCAGCTATGATATTGGTATCAGAAGTTTCTGGAACGGCCAACGGTGGCTCATTCTCTTCAAGGTCAATTATTTCAGGGGATTCTCGTTTCAATCGCTTTCTTGGTGGAGTAAGCTCTTCATCTGAATCAGGTATAACCGTAGAACTATCCAGTTCCAAAGGTTTGGGTCTGGAGAAAGGAAGACTCGGCACCGACGAAGACTGATTTACCCGCGTCCCTGGCTTGACTCCGATGGTATTTGTGGGCTTAAACGTCTCATGTTTCTTCGCGATCGAGCCTGGTTGGATAGGAATTGCACGGCGGTCCCTTGTAGGTCTGGAATGAGGAGTTAGCAAATCATTATAATCACGTTCTCTGGAAAAACAAATGGAATCACAAAACGTACTGGCTACCTTGTAGCAGGCGCTGCTCATCCCTATAGCTTTTTCTTTCATCCTTGCTCAGTTTGCGACTGGAAACCCCCATCTATCAGCTTTCACTTCCAACCACTCAAAAGGTTGGTAACCAGCTTCGTTTACCGAATGTCTTTTTTCTTGTGCCCAAATAGGGAAGTAAAATTCGACAGGACCTCTGGCATCCTGATAACAGATAGTATATGATTAGCCCATGTACTAAGAAAAAAAAAGGGAGTCTTGAGTAGCGAACGAGCGGGCTATGCGAAGGGAACCGAAGGAATAAAACTAACCCTTCCTATAACTAGTACGGTGTCACACGGGTTCAGCACGGTTCCTGACTCTTTCTTATGACGATGATTGCCCTCTCCCGAGGCATAAGTGTTCGCTTTTTATCATGAGCTGGGGTGCAGTGACTGTGTAGCGAAGCTCCAGAAACCATCACCCAGCCTTTCACTGTTATAATTATTTAAGGCTGGCGAATATCGAGTACCATTATTCCTGTGAATGAATAATGGAAACCATTCAAATTATAGGTAGAGGGAATATCTGGACAATGAATGTGGTAGTAGAGAAGGGAGTGAATATAAAGAGAGGTTGTTTGTCTTAACTGAGTTATCGATAACTGAACGGAGGCGTGACAGTTTTTAGGGTTTGATAGACCAACATCCGCCACCAATAAGCGCATAGCTTGCTGCTCTCTTCTGCCTGAACAAAGATGAAGATATGAATGAAAGCAGGGGATAAGGCCTGCAGAAGGGCCACCAGTGTGTACGTTCTACAGGTGCACATTATTATAGTGACTACGAGGAAAGGCTGGAGGTAAGCCGTGAAACCAGTTGGCTTTGACCATTTCTTCAAAAAGACAGTACACCCGTGATGCTGGAATAATTGAACCCAGGAACCCAGAAGAAAGCGTTGCCATATCTCGATGTGGTTTTCGAAATAGGCATTAATCAATCATGATAAAACAAGAGAAGAAACATAGGCGGAAGAGAGATAAGAACAAGTCAAAGAACGAGCAGAAGGTAAGAGGAAGAGTAACAATAGGCTAGACATATAGGGGGTATGCCGGTGAATAGAATTTAGCACTTAAACAAAGGTAGTGTACATCGGGCCTGCTGGAGCAACTAAAAAGAGTTCCTGATTAAGAATTCGTGGTATTCTTACCCCTTTCGCCAGTGGAATCTTCCTGGTTGGCGATGCGGCGGCGGTCAGCACCTTGATTGTGGTGATGATGGTGGTGGTGACCGGAATTGCCGCTGGATTTATCCAGGCGCGCTTGGTCTATAGCTGATCTCTGTGCTATGCTGTCATCATGGCTTTTCCAGATGATGTTTGTATCCGGGGGGAAGGCAAGAAGACGCTTAATGGTTTCCCTGTGCATCGATGTTAGCCATCGTATTCTACGGCCAAAACAAGAAGTGGAACTAAATGTAGCATGCCTGATCTTGATGTTGCGGCCACCATCGATCTTGGTCCATATACTCAGAACGTCCTCCCCACTCCTGACACTGAGGACCGCGCCGCAGACCTCATCGCTTGCCTCGGCAAACTGATCCCCAATCATTGCCAGGAGCAGATCTTCCCAATATCGATCCGCAACTCCCTTCTTCAGCCTGATAATCCATTTGCCGCCCTTTTTATTGGCCTCATCCTCCCATACAGGACGAATGTTTTTCTTGAATATATGGTAGTCCGATACAGTCGGTAGCAAGGAAGGTCGTTTGAGGTGTGAATAAACGGTCCAAAAGCTCTCAACGGAAGATATAGAGGCGAGAGGGATAGTAGATTTCTCGTAATCAGAGTACTTGGGTGTCGGAGGACGGTACCAGACAATCCACGTAGACTTGAGCGGAAGCTCCCTCACTCCGTTATCCTTATTGGCCGAAGACGCGGACTTGTCAAGAGAAGACGAAGACGCCTTTGACTTGACTGGTTTCCAAGCCCCGCCTTCCTGGTCGGCTTGTATATCTCGCTTATCGCCTTGTTGTTTACCGGCGATAGCGTCAGGGGAGTTGGCGGTCTTAGACGACTTCGCCGTCGATCCGAATGAAGCGAAGGCGCCTGAGCCCAGCCCAAAGGCAGATGATGCGGCCACGGAGGGGGAAGAGACTGTAGAAGAGAGAGGCGATATGGCGTTGAATGGGTTTGAGCGAGGGTGCGAGCCGTCGAAGCGGCCTGCGGAACGACCACGAGATGAATCCGACTTTCCAGCACCGTCTTTACTATCAGAGCCGGACGTCGACAAGGAGAGTTTTGCAGAGCTACAGATGGTAAAAAGGAGAAAAAGCAAAGAAAGATTAATACTTGTTCTCCCCACACTGTAATATATGACGATGCAGAAATCCAACAGACGGGACTGGGGCTTGCCCAATTTGTGCGAGGAGGGCAGCAGGATGAGACACTTACTTAGATCTTCGAGTCCATAAATTAGCGTTCTCCATTGGCTTACTTAGTCAAGGATATGATAATTTAAGGATGCAGCGCGAGCAGGAGTGGCCGCGCAAGAAGTCGATGGGAGGATAAAAAAATTCCTAGGCTCGTTTTTGCGCGAGGATTGTGATGAAGCGAAGAGTGTGTCGAGAGGATGTGCGGGCGGCGACCAGGATAAGAAGCGTAGAGATCAGCAGAGCGTAGAGTAAGTGATAGGGCGAGCAGCTGGGACGGGCGTGAATCGTAGAAATGAATAATGTGCTTGAGCTAGAAGTTTGCCTGATACAAGAGAGAGAAAAAGATGGCGGAGAAAGTTGAACGAATCAAGCTTTTGCCGCATCTCAATTTTACACGCGCGTTTACTTCAGAAGCTAGGCCTCATATAGTTAGGACATCACGTGTCACGCGCTTATTTCATTCCATTTTCCACGCGGCTTTCCTTGCGGCCGCGAAGAGATGATTGTTTGCATCATTTGATGATGGCGTCACGCAGCCTCAAACGGCCATCCCACTGAAGAATCCCATGTCCAGTTATGCTCAATGATGGCCAACAACCATAGGAGGATAGACTGGGTGCGGGATGCTGTCTAGTGTTTTAGTCTAGACGGGCTTTGGGCCTTGCACAGGGTAGACATATTCGTCTGTACCTGAGAAGTGTTGTTGGTCACCGGTATTTAGAGATAGAAGTGTCAAGGAAGTATACAAATAGCAGTGCACGTCATACTTGATCTATATAATAATAGTGAGTTGGCTTCTTCCAGCCCCTCAGGCAAGTTTGAACACTCCAGGGTGTATCCAGTTAGGTTGTTCACAGGGCCAAGCAAGCAAAATGACCGTTCTGTCATTGGCTGGCAGGGTTTCATCTACATGTCAACCATCCCATCGGGCAGAATGGACAGCTCGTAAAGCTAGCTCCCTCTCTTCTGCATCCCCGAGAGTTCCAGAGACCAGTAGAATTTGATGGGATCTCCAGACACGACGAAGTGATAGCGGCACCTACCCTGTTCCCCCTTCCCCAACATCCGGGAACCAATGGTCGGCTGACAACCAGACACCGAGTTGGAGAAGGACGTTGAGCATTGTACGAATCTGGACAAAGGTTGGCGCCTCTACATAAGCCTCATGTACCTCACCGTCTCTGCTGTCAAGCGACTATGCCTGGTGATTAACGGTGCATTGGCTCAAACACCACCCCGCATAAATCCAGATGCCGAAATGACGAAGCCCGTTAATGTCCGTCCTCTTCAAAAGTCCGGACCTAACAAAACCACAGCTATTCTGTAACTATAGCGGCGTATATTGCCGTGTGTTTCTCGGCGCACCTCATACTAGCCGCGTCAAACATCAAACAACACTCGGACTTAACAATTTGAGGTATAGCCGGTTAGTCAGGCCGGTTAGTTAGAGGCACAGAGTACGGATACTACTGAGTACCCTTTGCATTCTCCCAATATGGAGATCCTGCAGAAAATCTGCGGAACGGAGCCCAGCTTCGGGAGGCGGAATGGGACCTTGAAAGCCGCCGCGTGGCATCAAGACCAGATCGAGATAATTAACGACTGTCAACACGTTTTTTTTTTTTTTTTTTCCCTCTCTCTGTTGCTTTCCCATCTGATCCGAGGATAACTACGTGAGGGGATAGAAGGGCGGGGGAAATGAGAGCGGCGCAATGCACAGTCTGGTCTCATACGCCTACTTTGGATGCGTTGTACATGGACGCTCTGCAGCCAGGCATGCCTGTGTTGTACTCCGTCCTCTGCACCCTGGCCTTCCGCGTCGACCGGCAGCAACCCGCCTGGTCGAGCAGCCTCATCGGTGGCATGTCTGCGCTCTACTTATGCAGCGAGGTACATGACTAGCTGGAGGGAAGAAAAGGCGAGCAGACGCTGCTTTCTTACTGGCGCAGCGCGATATCTGACTACCCAATGCGGAAGTTCGCAAGGGGTTTTGTGTTATTCGCTCGTTGCTTTTTCTGCCCCCGCTTGGCGGTGAGAGCGCGGCAGGGACCCACAACTCAAAAGGGAAAGCGGATGGCTTGCCGCCCTCTGGCGCGTTTCTTTTTCGCTGTTTGCGCCGGGTGACGCCCAGACGGATACAGAGATACTGAGATACAGAGACACTGAGATACAGAGACACTGAGATACAGAGACACAGCCGAGACAGAGAACCAGCGACAGCAAAGACAGGATCCGGAGAAGTCCCCATCGGGAGGGGGCCGCTGACCCTCCCGCTATTGCGAATAAGCGAAATCGATGGTTAAGGTGGTGTTGGCACCATTATTAGACTTGACTAGTTCATGCCGGCTACCTGGCTCTTGGACTTGATGAGCGGCCATCAAACCATGGTGTGGGAACAACTCGGATGAGCCGTAGCTACTTCCGCCCATTCTATATTAATGGTCCGAATAGCCATCTGTTTCTGGAAGACACGGTTGGCAGGACTCGCAATCGACATGTCTTGCATCAGCTTACTCCGTACAGAGTATACAAACCTGGGCTCATTTGGCTACTTCACCAAGGCCGGATAGTGATAGTTACTTATACGATGGCCTGGCAATCAGCCAACTATCATGCAACCACTGCCATTTGCCTAGCTATATACGGAGTATATAAATATATATATATATATATATATATATATGACGAGATAAGGAAACGGTTTCATGCAAGTATGCAAATCAAGGACAACAGCAGACCAGTCTTGCGCACCAGACTGCCGCGCACAAAGGAGTGACCACCGGGCCTCTTCCTGGTGGCGGAGATAACGGCGGGCTGGCTGTTTCCCCAAAAAAGTAGGTGGTTGGATAGACGGCTTTGTCTTAGCGCCCTTTTCCGGCTAGTTTGATGACCAAGAGCTCCTGTCGCATGGTAGTCAAAAAAGCAATAACACTCGCGGCCTTGCATCTTGCACCTTGCAAGTCAGCGCCTGTTCCTCTGCTCGGCGATGTGTCCGTCCTCGTTCTGTTGCTGTGCCTTTTTTTTTTTTTTTTTCAAATCATTAACTAATTATTTACTCTGCTTCCCTTTTTTTATTTGCATCTCATCTCAGCGTATAAGCTCTCGTCAAACGAAACCCGGAGTGCGGACTGCGGCTCCATACCATAACAATGCGCTGCCCACATATATATAACACACCAAGGAGGCCGAGTACCGCAAAGGGCTATCCGCTAAGCAGGCAACTCCGTACCGGGTCGAATGAGACTCATTCGCTGTCTAGCTTAGAAAGGGCGCCATACATACCGGTTCTTCCCAACCTTCTACTCACTTAAATTCCGACATAATAATAATTCAAGGCACCAAAGCGGTCATTGCAACTGTATAACTCAACTTGTTTGCCATTTCCAGTCCTTCTTTTTTTTTTTTCCCCCCTCCTCGCTCATACCCAATCCTCGATTTGAGCCGTGTCATCGCAGCTAAGTACTAGTGCCTGAGCGGTCCTAATACCAAGTTGCGGAGCATATTCATTTATTTAAGAGAGGGCAAGAAGGAACTTTGAGAATGATGTTTGAGAATAATTCGAAACCGCTGTCTTCATCTTCACCAACATCAGCATTATCTTCAGCAACCTGTGCTAGAGTTAAGATTTCCTCGAAAATGCCGTTTATACCCTCTTCAACAGACGTTTGCAATGGTTATATGAGACCCAGCATCATCGACCTGTCTAGAACGGAGAACTTTCTTTTACGGGACGAGCTTGCGGACATTGTCAAGACCGCCAAAACACATGATTCTCAGGTATATCTTTTGTGCATATATATTCGATGGATGCATCGGTGCTTTAAGCTTCGTTGTTGCTAACATTGAGATAGCATCATTTTTCCTCACACGATGACGCCGGAGATTCAAGGCTGTTGTTGGAGTGTTTGACAAGGCTCTTCAACAATTACTTCAACCCTTGTATTCCAGTCAGTCGATCACATATTGCTACTGCTCCGGGCGCAGCTGGCTGCCTCGATGCACTTCTGTATAATATTTGTAATGCCGGTGATGGCGTTCTTATACCCGGACCCCAATGGGGTAAGTCATATGGACCTGATACGTGCGAAACATAAAACAGGCCAATGCTAACCAGGACATTCATCGCTTAGGCGACTCGGATATCGAGATGAATTATTCTTATCCCGATGTTAAGACAGTAACGGTGAACACCAACACCTGCGGAACAGCCCACCATTTTCTCAGAGTTTTGAACGACGCCATCGACAGCGCGCCTTGCAAAGTCAAGGCATTGGTTTTAAGGAATATGAGCAGCTCATTTGGCGAATGTTACCCGCAAGAGTTTCTTGAAGTTGCCCTTAAGTTCTGCCAACAGAGGCGCATCCACTTCATCTCCGACGAAGTCTATGCCCTCACATCTTTCTCTTGCGCAGAAATATCGGACCCTGTTCCGTTTGTCTCAGCTTTAGCTTTGAATGCGCGGGCATTGGGGTGTGATCTATCGAGGATTCACACTATATGGAGTATTAGTAAGGATTTTGGAGCAACCGGTGTTCAAGTGGTATGTCAGCCCTTCAAAGAAAGCAAAATTTTACTCCGAACAAAAGAAGAGAATCAAAGGCTAATGGCACCCGAACCAACAGGGCTGTACGGTATCACAAGGCAACAAAGAACTTATCCGTGGGCTTATCAATACTCCCAATTCCCGAATAACACCAGCATCGTTGGCGTTTGCAACCTCTCTCCTCTCCAGCCCCAGGCTACCCATCTTGATTGCTCTCAACTCTGCCGGCCTAGCCGAATGCTATATGCTCATCACCTCTTTCTTTGTGCGACATGGTATCAAATATATCCCCGTTAATGCAGGCCTAAGCATATTCGCCCGTCTTGCACCCAACGCAAGGTCACGGGACGAGGAAATGGAGATCGTGCAGCACCTGAAAAACGCAGGTGTCGTGGTCAACAATGCTGGAGGAAGTTTTCATAAGACCTTTAAGGAGAAAGGGTGGGTACGGATGTCCTTCTCCATTGAACCAAATCAGCTGCATGAAGCCCTAACCCGCATCGAACTTGCT